GGGAGCATTTTTTAACCCAAAAGGCATTACATTCCATTCGTACTGTCCAAATGGAACATTAAATGCCGTTCTATATGAATGGTCTCTAAATATTTGGATTTGCCAATATCCAGATTTTAAATCAAATTTTGAAAAGATATTAGCATCATATAATCTGGTTAATAAATCTCTTTTATTAGGAATAAGATATCTAATCCATTTGAAAAATTTATTTAAAGGTTTATAATTCATAACTAACCTGGGAACACCTCGTTCTTTTTCTGCTGCGTTATTAACATAAAAAGCAGTACACGACCAAGGTGATTTGGAAGGCTTTATCAATCCCTTTTGTAATAAATTATCAATTTCCTTTTTGCAGAATTCAACCAATTCGGTATTCATCTGACAAGGACGAGATTTGGTAGGGATATTTTCCTCAGAGAAATCATTTTCATATGGAAGAGTTACAATATGCTTTTTCCGATTCCAAAAGGTACTAGGATGATCAACACAAATATCAATGGCCATTTTTTCAGAAATGAGTTTAATTTTTTCCTGTATTTTAGCAGATTTTAAAGTATCGAATATATTCATACTAAATATCTCAAGTTGTAAATAATCAACATGCTTTTGTTTCATTTCAATTAGAGCATTAATATCTCTAGAAATAGGCTCGGTGATAAAAGTATAACTAATATCTTGATTTTTATAAGTAGCAGAAAATCCTTTAGCATTTATATTAGTAAAAGGATAAATTGCATTTATAAAAGGAGTTCCTAGAATAATAAGAGGGTATAACTGATTTTTTACTAAGAAAAAGAAGTGAGGAATACAAACTTTATTCTGGCAAATACGAGTATTAGATAATTTATACTTTATATCTAAAGCATGACCAGATGCAGATTTAACCATATGAGTTGTTTTTTCAAAATATTTAGTAGGTACAAGACCTTCTTGAATGCAACTCACATCAGCGCCACTATCAATCATAGCAATGTTAGTTATAGAAAAAGTATTATCAATTAATATAGTACATTTAACATACCATTTATGAGCTGTAACAATTTGCATCATTCCTAAAAACATATTTTGTTTCGGATCAATATTCAAAGTGTTGGCAAGAATATTTTCTTCAGCAGTAGATTCATCATCAACCTTATTTTTTCCTTTGTTATTAGCAGACTCAATCTGAGTAAGACGGTGATCATAAATAATATGATTTTGTTTAAGAAATTTAATTTCTTCCTTCAAATGTTCAATTTCTCCTTTTAAATCATCAAAAGAGGTATCACGAATAACCATAGTTTGTTTAGAAGAGAGTCTATTATGAACTTCAGACAAGGAGTAAGGAGCAGAATAATTAAAATAATCGTTAACCTTTTTATCACTAGGAATACTAGTTGAAGAGCTAGTCTTACTAGTAGCCAATTGAATGATCTTTTCACGAAGAGTATTATCGGTAACTTCTTTTAGAAGTTCTATCACATTGTCTGCAGTGATAGTGAACATATTCATGTCTTCAAACTGAGATTGCAACTTGTAAAATTCATCATGTTTGCAGTGACAAGTATCACCATGACATTTGCAACCATCATTCGAATCTTGTTGAACCTTACTAGATGACTCAGGTTGCTCATCCTCCGTTGCATAACTTGCTTCAGAATCATCATAATCTGATTCGGAACCCGAAGTATATAGAAAACTATAAATCTTCTCTTGAATATCGTCATTAAGTTCTAGAGTCTTAAGCTTTTCTAGCTTACAATTTGGAGCTATATGCCCAAATTTTCCACATTTATAACACTTAATCTTATCAAGATTTCGCTTGGACCTATTCTTGGTAAATCTATGAGATTTACGATGAGTCCTACGCTCATCTCTTTCTTCTCTAGTCCTTCTTCTAGATCTACTTTTCTTATGATGAGATCTATGATATTCTGATTTAGAAGTTTCTCGGTGGGTGCTTTTTGGAGCATCCGGTAAATCGAATTGAGTACAAAAATCTCCTAATTGAGACTTTTCTCTAAACTTATCCATCTTAAGCTGTCTTGAGAGTTTTAACTCATTGCACAAATTTATGTCTTCTTGCGTACAAGCCCCAATAAGCTTTCCATAAGTGAAATCACTATAGGGAATAATTCCTTGTGAATTTCTAAGAGTCTTTTTTACTCTTTCTGCAAATAAAGAAGGTAAGTCATCAATAAATTTGGCTTTCCAGAATTCTAAACCATTTTCGGGAAGTTCCATTACCCGACTTAAATAAGTGTCTTTATACCATCTAAACTCACCTAAATGTCTACATCTAAGACCATTTAGAAGAGATCTAATGGTTTCATATTGATTGGTAAATCTACCACTAAAATGTTCAAGAATAGTCAAAATAAGTGTATACACAGCGTCTTCTCTATTTTGAACAAGGGCAAAGCCTAAATTGTCATGACCTTCATTTGCTGCCTTAGCATTAATTACTGCTGCTCTGGCATCAGAGGGCATATAATTATCCCACCATCCTCTTAGTTGACCGGTAAATCCTGCAATAATCATCTTGCAGATGGTCCTGTCAGTGTTATTGACACTTTTGCAAATAGTAGCATACATAAGCATCCTATGAACCATAATCGTCAACTGCCTATCAGTTAGCCCATCGAGATTCCATTCATAAATCTCACTTCCACTATAAGAAGTGTTAGTTTGATTCCAATTTCTTTCCTCTATTAAAACATCTTGAGGAGTAGGCCTGAGATAGTAATAAGTTTGCATGCTAGGTTTTCTAGCATAAGCAGTATTACCACTATTCTTCTTTGGATACTCATGAAGTTTATTAACTTCCATTTCCATTTGAGTTTTGAAGTCAAAAGTGGCTTCCATCTCATCTGCAAAATCTTCAGCGAGATTTATCGGTTTCGCACTTGCACCAAATTGTGAAAACTTTTTATCAAGAAGATTTTCAAGGTCGTGCAAAGGTCTAAGAATAAAATCCTGAATCTCAGGAGGCCTTTGAATATGGATATCAGGTTGTTTTGACGAAGAAGCCTGTTCCGAAACTTGTTTCACAGATTTTAGCTTACTATCAATTTGAATAATCAGATTAGACAGGTTATCTAATTTTTTGTCTAGAGAACAGATATGTTCACCAATAACTTTGACATATAGGCCCAAATAATTATTTTGAGAAATAAGATGATTAATTTCATTTATACTTACTGCGGCGACATCATTATCAATAAATTTATGAAAAGCAGTAAAAGAAATACCAATATTATTGGGTAAAATAAACGGAGCTTGAGGAGGATAAATGGATTGAATAATATTACCCGATTCATCTTTGTAAGATAGTTCAAGAACGTTGATGAACAGGGGCAAATAAGTGGTTATAAACCAAGGCACAAAAAACATAATATGATAAGAAAAATAATATGTTACTTACATAATAATAATAATAAAAATAAAAATAAAGAGTATAAATAGTAATTCTTCAAATATAAATTGAAGATGAGTTGGAGAAGACCCTCTAAATATAAAGAATACAGAATAAAATAGAGATGATTGGAGATGTCTTATTCTATTAGAAAAGTAGCCCTTATTTATTTAATAGGACACGTGGCTTATAATTGCTGACCAATGTTTACTGCAGCTGATGGAGACCTGCAAAGTTGACTTAAGCGTTTACTGGATGACTCATTGTTGTTAGTGGTTCCAAATTGCCACTAAATCTCACATTTTCACCGATAGCCAGTCCAGAGTCCGACTTTACCCATGGCTTCTCAATTTCTTTCTGTCGAAAAATGGAAATATGATGTTTTCCTGAATTTTCTACCGGAAGACTTCAACGAAAACTTCGTTACCGATCTTTACAAACGTCTGGAAGACATAGGAATCAAGGCATTCAAACACGATGGTAGATCTGCAAAACTAGCACCATTTTCGGCAGAAATCTCAGAAGCCATCGAGGAATCAAGGATTGCCATTACAATCTTTTCGGAGATGTATGTTGTATCCAGACTGTGCTTGGAAGAAATCACCAAGATAATGGAGTGCGTTGACAGATACAGACAAAAATTCTTCCCGGTCTTCTATCGCACAGAACCATCAGTAGTATCACTGGAGTTTGATTTCGAACATTACGGCGCACTCCATGATATTCCCGGTGCTGATTCGGAGAGGGTTCAGAGGTATAAGGACGTTCTCTCTAAAGCATTCGACATTGTGGGATATAAAAAGTGGATTCCCATAAACCTTTCCAACATATCCGTTGGTGAGTAGTAACTCATAAAAACTAGCTGAGTCTGATTCAATTTTTTGGGATATTCTCTATTTCTCTGCTTGATATATTTCTTGACACAGCCTCTGTATGGTGGCTTAAGACAAAGAAAGTAGTAAGTGGGAATTTATCTTAGTCGTGTTCGGATCCACTTATTTTTAGTGAGTTTTAGCGTTTAAATACTATGTTTAATAATAATGGTTCATTATTAACTTTACACATTATTTGAAAAATGTGTTAAATGATAAATAATATTTAATAATAAGGATAAAATAGATATAAAAGTAAATTATCTCTTGATTTTTTAAATTGAACAAGTATTGTTTGATAATTATTTTTAATATAGTGAACAATTATTATTAAACATAGTAAATATTTTATTTGTTTGTTTTGAAATTGTTTGGATAAACATTGAAAGTGTTTTTAAATATTTTTTTAAAGCTAAAAAAGTAAAAAAGAATCAAAAGTTGGGGTTCCCTATTTATGATTTTTTTACTTTTTAACTTATAAGTCACTTTAAAAAGCTCAATTCAAACGCCCCTAAATTCTTTGGATATATAACTCATGATTTAACCAAGTGCATCATTGAACTTTTTGGGTTATATATAATTGAGCTTTTTGGGTTATATATATAGGAAAACTTACACATTTTTTTGGTAATTAACTGTATATTTATTAATCACCAATTGGTATTTACAGAACATAACAAACTACATCACAGTTTGTTAATCAGAAAACAAAACTCAAAGGAGATACAACTTCACACAAAGCTAAGTTGTTGCAACCTAGAACTAATGGCCGTAGGAGCCCTCATACAACACATATAAGCCACCTCTTTTGCAACATGTTCAAGATTTCTACATTTGTCTTCAAAAATTTTGTGATTCCTTTCTATCCATACTGCATGACTACATTCTGCATATATTAGTCTGAAAAGCTGGGCAGTCAGATTATTGCCTCTGGCTTTCTCTATGATCCATTTCAAGTGTGTATCCCAAGCATCTAAAGTATAGTCTGGCCATTTGATCCATGCCATCAACTTCCTCCAAATAGCTCTTGTAAACTCACAGCAGACAAACAAGTGATCTCTAGTTTCAAGTTTATTTTGACACAGCTTGCATTGTTGATTTATATCCATCCCCCATGAAGCCAACCTATCACTAGTTGGTAGTTTGTTTTGTAATTGGAGCCACATAGTAACAATGGCCTTTGGTCTTGCAGAGTTGGCAAATATCAGACATCTCCAAGGCACTCTAGGTCTGTTTCCAAGTAGACTCAGGTAAAGGCTGCCAATGGTTACCTGATCATTTTGCTTCTGTGTTTGCTCTAAAGTCAGTCTAGCATTAAGTATCTTCTTGACCATTCATGAAGCTTGCTTTGGAATAGGTGCAGTGAGGAATTGTTGAGTCTTTATATAAAAAAGAGTGGATCCATCTAATCCACAGCTTGTCAGATTTGTTAGCAAGGTCCCAACAGATTTTGGCAATAGCAGCTTGGTTCCACAATCTGATGTTAATGAGGTTCATGCCTCCAACTGATTTAGGTAGGCTGCACCTTTTCCCATGCTATCAATGCTCTCTTGTTAATAGTATTAGATCCTGACCAAGTGAAACTTCTACAATATGATTCAATAAGCTTAAGCACTTTTGCAGGAATGATAAAGAGCTGAGACCAGTAGGCTTGAATACCAAATAGTACAGATTGAACCAATTGCATTCTTCCTGCATATGAGAGTTTCTTAGCAGTCCAGGAGGAGATTCTAGCAATAATTTTATTCACTAGTGGTGACCACTGCATAATAGTCAGTTTCTTGGTCGATAGAGGAACACCAAGATACTTGAAAGGAAACTCACCACATCCAAATCCACTCTGTTGGAGTATGTTCAGTTTTACCTGATCAGGGACACCACCAAAATATATGGAGCATTTATTCATGTTTGCCTGCAGTCCCAGATCATCTGCAAAACATAAATGAGTTATATTCAATCTGCCACACTTAGGATGAATCTTGAACCCCTCAAATTCTCTTGCTTCAGCAAGACATCTACTAAGGTATTCCATAGATATAGCAAATAAGTATGGAGAGATGGGGTCTCCTAGTCTAAGCCCTTTTGCAGCATTAAAGGGGGGGGGGGGTGTGGTCTCTCCATTTACCATGATTGTATAATTCACAGTATGCACACATTCTAGGATCCATTTAATGAATTTCTGAGGAAAACATAGGTTCTCCAGTACCTGTTCTAAATAGGACCACTCCACAGAATCATAAGCCTTTTGTAGATCAATTTTTAGCATACATCGTGGAGAAATGTGTTGCCTAGAGTATGCTTTAACCAGCTCAGTTGCAAGGATAATGTTATCAACAATCTTTCTCCCTGGAATGAATCCTGATTGAGCTTCACTAATAATACGTGCCATAACTTTCTGCATCCTAGAAGCTAGGACTTTAGCAATGATTTTGTAAATGATGGTGCAGCAAGCTATGGGTCTATACTCTTTTATATTCACAGGACTGGAATTTTTTGGGACCAACGTGATCACAGTGCAGTTAACTGGTCTGTAGAGTTTTCCAGATTGAAAAAACTCTTTGATAGCTAACATCATGTCATCTTTGATATAGTAAGAAAATATTTACCATTTGTAGCAATAATTTTTTTTTTCATTTAAACACTTATAATACAATTTTAATACATATTATAGAGAATAAGTTATAAAACACATATAATACAAGTTTTACTAATGAATAATATATTTATCACATATTTTAATACACTTACAATATATTGTGTCAATTTCTTATCAAACAAGTATAATATATGTTAAAACACTTATAATACATATATATTAGGCATAATACATAAATATGACCCTTAATTTGACTTCAACGGACAACTATACCCTCCAACTTTGAGTGTGCATAAGTAAACACTTAAACTTGTATAAAATTGAACAAGTAGACACACGTGTCCTATATGACATAATATATGTAAGACGCCATGTAGGACACAAAATTTCCATGTAGGGTGCCATGTATGACGAATATGTCTATTTGTTCAATTTTATACAAGTTTAAGTGCTTACTTGTGCACATCCAAAGTTAAGGGTCATAGTTGCCAACTAACGCCAACTTAAGGGTCATGTTTATATATTATGCCTATATATTATATGCATAATTCACTTTTAATACATAATGCATATTTAACATAATATTGCTATGTATTATTATAAATGTTAATAAATAAAAAATATCTCTAAAATCAGTAATTATTTATTAAAAGTACTCAGCCAAGTAGTTTTCCCTATACAAAGTATCTAATTTTATGGAAGTTCATGAGTTTATTTGGGCCTAAATCCACTCTTGAAAGGAGTTTGGACAACCTTGGAACCGTAAATTCTATTGTACCGTATCGTTATTTTAATATTTTTTGTCATTTGTCTTTATTTATTATTTAATAATCATATTTCATCTTTTATCTTACCTTTTTATAGTAGCTCTACCGTGTTCCCTACTTTTCTTATAGATTTATCATTCAAATAATGATTGTGTGACATTATGTAACATGAAAAACAATACAATCTATCCAAATAATATATTCATTGAAACAATAAATACAATACAATACATTATGAAACATAACAACCATCCAAAAATCACTTTGCATGGATTAAGTCTCAATGTCCGGCGGAGTGGTGTCAAGAGGTGGTAATTTAACCTTTTAATTTAAAGTAGAAGAAATATCTTAAAATATCCTCAATTTTGAGTCACAGACCTATTCAAATCAAATAAGTGCAAATTTTTAATCTAAATAAATGCACTTAAAAGCACTTTTTTTTATTGATCCAAAGGACGGGACAGTCGGATTTCTCGGTTATAAAAATAAACACTTTTTCTATGTTTGGACAAGGGTCAAATATACCGCTATACTATTAGAAATAGTTTAAATATACCTCGGTTATACTTTCGAGCTAAACATATCCCTCCCATTATACTTTTGACACATATTTACCCTTATAACTAACAGAGGAACGTGGACGACTAGGATTACAGAAACCCATCTAATTTAAATCATACCCAATTGTAAGGTTTTCTGCCCTACCCAAATTAATTTTCCCAAATCCAATTAATAGTAACTAACCCAATTTAAACTTCAAAGATAATAAATGAGAGGACCTGTAAATATAATCCATTTTGCAAACAAAATTAGTACTCTCTCCGTTTAAAAAAAATGATCTAGTTTGACTTGGAACAGAGTTTAAGAAAAGAAAGAAGATTTTTTTAATCTTGTAATTCTAAATTAAAGTTACATCAAATATACCAAAATACCCTTTAATCTTGTGGCCTTAAACATGTCACGTGAAAAGTTAAAGTTAAAGTGTTACCAAAAAAGGAAATGGATCATTATTTTTGAAACATACTAACAAGGAAATTAAACATTAACAGAGACATTAGGGAGAGCACAAAATTATGGATGAGTTGAAGCCAATGCCACCAAATTCAAGTCCTCTTACTCCTCTAACCTTCTTGGAAAGAGCCGCTACCATCTATGCCAATTGCCCTTACATAAGCTTATGAAGAAGTTAGTGACGATGAATTATATTTTATTTAGTGACAAGGTAGAAACTGCACCATGGAAAGTTCTTTAAAAATGTTTTCAGTTGGTAAACCTAAATGGAGATGATAAACATTTTGATCCTTATAAATTAAAGTAACACAAATAAAATTATTTAGGTTTTTTATGGTTGAAGTTTAAATTGGGTCGGATGATATTAATTGGATGGTAAAGTTGATTCGGGCAGGTCGGGTTATCTTATAAATGAATATGATTAAAATTGGATGGTTTTTTTTAATCCTGGCTGTCCACCTGTCCCTTTGTTAGTTATAAAGGCAAATATGTGCCAAAAGTATAACGGAAGGGATATATTTATCTCGAAAGTATAACTAAGGTATATTTAAACTATATTCAATAGTATGTAGTATATTTAACCCTTTTCAGTTGTGTGTTTATATAAATATATTGTACAGTCAACCATCCAAGAATCACTCAACCTATATAAATATTGTACGAGCTTTGCCTGGATGATTTTTATTTAGCTGCAGCTAAACTCCCTATACTTTGTAACTATATTGCTTAAACTCTTCAAAAATATCAATGGCTGTGTGTCGAATCCTCCGAAAATAGTGTATTTTAGAAGGATTTGACACCGAGCAACTTAGCTCTGCAATTATTCTTTGTAATGTAGTTTACCTGTGTTTGTTTGGTGAGGATGTGCGCACTGGTGGCATAGAGCAGATAACTATTCCAATTTCCAGCTAAACAAATTGACAAGTCCGTTGTCAATTTGAGGTGTTGTTTCTTGCAAACTAAAGAAATTTTAATGTCACATTTTTCAGGACGTGGTAATGCTTTCCGCTTTCATCAATTATCACATTTCAAATATTTTATTGATATGATATGTTCTATTGGACACAGGAACGCTGAAAAATGTATTGAGGAAATTGTTGATAAGGCTTCTCAGGTTATGAACATTCCAAAATATCCTGTGGGAATCAGATCTCGTGTAGAGGAAGTAAAATCATTGTTGAAAGTTGAATCTGGCAGTGTTCATTCTATAGGGATATGGGGGATGGCTGGTGTAGGGAAGACAACTGTTGCCAGAGCACTTTTTAATGAGATCTCTTGTCAATTTGAAGAGTCTTGTTTTCTTCCAAATGTTAGGAGAGTCTTAGAAAAGCATGGACCGGGAGGCCTACACCATTTGCAACAGAAGCTTCTTTCCCAGATTCTGAAGAAACATTCTGTTGGTTTAGCAAATTTTGCTAGAGGCGACGAATTTATAAGCCAAATGCTTCGTTCCAGGAAAGTTCTAATTATTCTTGATGATATGGATGACAATCACCAATTGGAACATTTAACTGGGAAGCGTAATTGTTTGGTGATGGCAGTAGGGTCATTACAACAACTAGAAGTTTTGATTTACTTGGCAAGCATGATGGGTTTTATCGTGTCCCAGAACTGACCAACAATGAGGCTTTAGAACTTTTTAGTTGGCACGCCTTTGAACAAGGAGCTCCAGTTAAAGACTTTGAAGAGCTCTCGTGTTGTGTAGTAGATTATGCTAAAGGCTTACCCTTAACTCTGGAGATCTTGGGTTCTTTTCTCAACAAACAAAGTACAAAAGAGCAGATAAGTGCATTATATAGACTCCAAGATTTCGGAGATGAGAAAATTGATAAGTTACTTATCATAAGTGTAGATGCATTGGGTGCCGAATACAAGAATATATTTCTTCATATTGCATGCTTCTTTAGAGGAAAAAAGAAAAAAGATGTGATTACAGTATTGAATAAACTTGGCTTCAAGTTAGTTAATGAAATAGATGTCCTCGAAAGATCATTTTTATATATCTCAGAAGGAATGATTGAGATGCACGATCCGATAGCACAAATGGGTCAGCAAATGGCACGTGATGCTGAGCAGGGCAAGCCATGGAATTGCAGTAGACTATGGCATGAAAAAGATATGAACACTGTTTCTGCATATCAGGTGTGTGGTCCTCTAATGGTTGAGAATTCTGCTGACATTCTTTTTTCCTCTTGTGCATTATTTTGCCTTAAAAAAAGTAGATGTCGATTTGAATAGGTTATACGAACTAGTTAGGCTAAGGTTTAGTCGTGCTGATACACTTACAATAAATACGGTATATGCTAGGAGTATTTTTAGTTTGTTCAGAGATTTGTATGTAAGTAGAAAAATGTACAGACCCACCTTACGGTTTTTAAGAAAATATAGAGACCCCCTTGTGTTAGAGAACTCCCTAATTAGTCTTGTATCAAAATTATTGAGTATTGAAATGAAACTAGTACAAATTAAACGGAATAGATTTGAGGATTCATATAGCCGACCCCAAAATTATTAACATAGTTAATGATGTTGTCTTCTACTTTGTTTGGCAGATTTGACATGCGAGCCTCTTCTGTCTTTCTGTTAATGTATAGATAATTGTTTTCAGTCAACCCTCCTTGAGAGTCCCTTTTCTTCTTTATCATTCTTTTTGCTTCTGGGCTCTACTCCCAAGTCTTTACCTACTCTTGCTTGTATATTTGCAGATTGCCAGAACCCATACATTTTCTGTGGCTCCAAAAAATAAAGCGAATCAAAAGTGGAAATATGATGCCTTTTTGAGTTTCAGAGGAGAAGACACCCGCAATAACTTTGTTGCCCATCTTTTTAAACGTCTCCAAGACATAGGAATCAATGTATTCAAAGATGATGTAAAACTTGAAAGAGGAAAGATCATTTCAACAGAACTCTCGAAAGCCATTGAGGAATCAAGAACTGCCATTATTATCTTCTCCAAGGACTATGCTTCATCCACCTGGTGCTTGGAGGAACTCAAAATGATCATGGAGTGTGTTGACAAGAAGGAACAGAAAGCATATCCTGTCTTCTATAACGTCGAACCATCAGATATACGCATGAAAAGTAAGTAATCAGAAATATTCATTGAAAGTTACACTCCCGACTCACTAATAATATTATTTATTGTTCCGACTTATTTAACTTATCAAACTTAAATTCTCTTTCAAGATAACTTTTCTAATCATTATTTTGGTATTTTCTCTTCTATAGCTAATACATACATACATACCTGAAATTAACATTTTAAGCCCTCTGTGAAGCTGAGAGCAGCAGCTTTGCTAAAGCGTTGGAAAAACACAGGGAAGATTTCAAGGCTAATTTTGAGAAGTTGGCAAGTAAACACGAGGCCGATATTGCTCTCCGGAAAAAAGATGAGACAAATCACAAGGATAATTTGGAGAAGGTGCAGAGGTGGAAGGACGCTCTACATAGAGCTGCTGGAATAGCAGGACTGGATGTTCGTAAAACTGCTAATGGGTGAGTAGTAAAAGATCTCTTGAGTTTTCACTTAATCATTGAGACATCTTTTCGTTTTTTGGGAAATGCCATGCAAAGTTCCAATGGTTTCCGTAGTCTTTGAAATAAACATGCTTTTAAGAATTGCATGTGAACTTTTGTAAGTTCTCTACTTTTTGGTAAAATTCTTGTTACGGATGCCTTTGCCCAAGAATTCAACAAATTTGCTACTTTATCTAAAGAGAACATCATGAAAACACCAGGGGTCAGTTTATTATATAATTTCTGATAAGTAACCAAAAACTCGGACTCTAATTGAGAGTATTTCAAGACCCCTCTTCTTCTTTTACTTATTTTAAGAAAGTCTCTCTATTCTACTTTAAAAGATCAAATTACCTTCTGAAAGTACCATTCGATTGGATGTGCAATACAGGCTTTTGGGCTAAAATACACTTAAGATGAACACATTAACAGATTTTTTATCGGGGATGGGTGGAGGGGTAGGGGTGGAATTCAAGAGAGAAACAGAATCATGTTAACATGACATAATTTTGGTTACAGTATGCTTGTATATTTTAGTTTTGAGTGAAAAACTTCAATCTTGTGTTTTGCATGCCATTAGGCTCATGAAATGTGTACTCTGTTTAAATCAGTCAACATCCATGTACTTGACTGTGAGAGTAATCAAGTAAAATTACTTCCAGTGAAATTTAATGCTTTCTTCTCTGGGTCCAAAGTTGTGAGCTGCTAATAGAGTAGTAAAACATAGATTGCAATACCATAACTCATTGACAGGAGTAATTAATATTGCATGGTCAACAATATATACTCTTTTGTCTTACATAGATAACCCCTTAAACTTGTCAGCGATGGTCATGTAGACACTTCAGTTATTTTAGTGACCATAGACACCTTTTGTTGGCATAAGTGTGTCTTTTGAACCCCTTTATATGACCTGGCAGCACACATGCCATTCAATTGCTTTTGAGCACGTAGGTGTATTTATTGCCCCATGTCCAGATGCTACAAGATCAAATTTCCTAATTTACCCTTAATTGCTAAAATGGCATTCATTGGATGTGGTTTGTTTGATGTTTTTGCTATGGGACTTGCTGGGAGACCAATGAAGTGTGCATTTTGTATTGAACTTTATGTACTATTAAGAGGTGAAATTGTGGAAAAGAAGGGAGGATAGGGTGACTGACCTCATGGAGTGCCTGGAGCAGAAGAAGAAGCTGGGGGAGAGAGGAAAATTGGGTTTTGATATTTTTAATTATTATATTTCCTTTTTATTGAACTTCACCTTGAGCTTCTTTTTCTAAAAAAAAAAACTGTCTACTATCAAATGTCATATGATCAATTACTATATCAGGCAATCCTGGTTTGTACTGGTACAGTAGTAGGCACAATTTATAGCCCACAGAAAATATTTTGATTGTACGTAATAAAAGGGATTATTTTTCAATTCATGAGCATTTATCTGAATTCAATCCTTCTTACTTATAAAGAAAATGAGAACTTATTACGATGATTGGGTACCATAGTATCTGACACTGACAAAAATCTAGTGGCAATTGAATCTTGTTTGGAAGAAGCATGATTTTTGCTGACAATGTAAATGAAAGTGTTCATGTGGATGTTATAATGGAAATGGATTGCATAGAGAAGGCAACTATTGAAAGAGGAACTTCAAACGAGATTTCTTGTGAATTTGAAGACCCTGTTCCCTCACTCATATTAGATTAATCCCAGAGAAGCAATAGATGGAATATGGACTGCTTTTGGCTACTTTAACATTTCTTGTGTTTAAAATGTCCATTTTTATTATTTTATTTTTACTGAATGCAGGAATGAAGCAGAATCTATTGAGAAGATTATAAATGATAACTTCCAAAATATGCACCACACCGTTTCAGCAACTGAAAAATATCTAGTGGGAATGGAATCTCGTATGGGTGAAGTAGAATCATTATTGAAGTTTCCATCAGGTGATGTTTTCTTTATTGGAATATGGGGGATCGGAGGCGTTGGGAAGACAACTGTTGCAAGAAAATATTTTGACAAGGTTTCTCATCAATTTCAAAGGTCTTGTTTTCTTGCGAATGTTAGAGAAGAATCAAAGAAACATGGGCTGATGCACTTGCAAAAGACGCTTCTTTCAAAACTCTTAAAAGAAAAATCAATGAATATAGCATGTTTTTATGAAGGGGCCGACATGATAAAAAGAAGGCTTTGCCACTGGAAAGTTTTAATTGTTTTTGATGATGTCGATGATGAAGACCAATTGAAATATTTAGTTGGAAATCATGACTGGTTTGGTGGTGGCAGTATAATCATTACAACAACTAGAAACCAAGATTTACTACGTAGTCATGACAAGTTATATTCTGTTCCTGTATTGGCTAAAGATGATGCTATTGAAGTTTTTAGTTGGCACGCTTTTCATAAACCGACTCCTGATAAAGAATTTTTGGAACTCTCCAAGTCTATTGTAGATTATGCTAAAGGCCTACCCTTAGCTCTTAAGGTCTTCGGCTCTTTTCTCTACCAACGAGGCGTAACTAAGTGGAGAAGTGCAATAGATAGACTGAAAGATACTGGGCATGATGAAATTGTTAAGCAGCTCAGTTTAAGTCTAGATGGATTGAACCATGAAGAGAAGAATGCATTTCTTGATATTGCATGCTTCTTTAGAGGAAGAAAGAAAGATGATGTGATAACAGTACTGAACAGTTTAGGCTTCCGATCAGAGATTGGAATTGATGTCCTCATCCAAAAATCTCTTTTATATATTTCAGAAGGAATGGTTGAGATGCATGATTTGATAGAACAAATGGGTCAGCAAGTGGCACGTAATGTGGACCATGACAAGCCATGGAAGCACAGTAGACTATGGCATGAACAAGATATAAAAACTGTTTTTTCTGCAGATCAGGTAAGAATTCCTCTATGCTGGAGATTTCCGTTCTCTCTCTTTCATTATGTGGCTTCAGTGGGATTAAAACTTCAGATCTAGTACATTTTTCTCAATCTAAACTGCTTCTCATGGGATAGTATCTTTATTAAATTATGTAATATCTTGGTAACAAATATAGCCTTGTATGTTCGAATTTGTTCTTCCATATTACTTCACACACAAGGATGTCTCATGTAGCCACCAATTAGGAAGATTAGTTCATAGATTACTGGATGTGCCATCTACAGATTTTAACTGGAGTAGCTTACTCAATATCCATTTACTAGTGTTCTTTCTTTAATTATGATTGTGCAATATTAGATTTTATCATCTTAAACAATTATAGTCGAATAGAAAATGAGTGTGCTAACTTCTATTTATTCATAGGTCTTATTTGTCCTTATGATGGACTTTTACAACAACATACCTACTGTAGTCCCACAAGTGGGATCCAAGGAGTGTAGAGTGTAAGTAGACCTTTGCCCACCTTGGGAGGTAGAGATGTTGTTTCCAATAGACCGTCGACTCAAGTAAAAGCATCTCAAAGCAGTTTGGGAAAAAAGCAAGAGTGAAGAAATCATGACAAAACATTAAAAAAGGCATGTTAGAGCATTCTTAACAAGGAAAAGTAACTAAAACAAAATAATACGATGATTGAAGTACAAGAAACATTTAATAGTAACAAAGATTGAATAACAAGAAACAACAAGAGTTGTACTACGACAACTAGTATGGAAGCATAAGCGAGATAACACTCAGCTACCTACTAATCTTCTGCCCTAATCTATGTCTTCTATAACCACCTATCTAAGGTCATATCCTTGGTCAACTGAAGTTGTGTCGTGGTCTATCTAATCACCTCTCCCCAATACTTCTTGGCCTACCTCTACCTCTCCTGAAACCATCTATAAGCAACCTCTCCGAATTCTGCACTAGAGCATCTCCACTTCACATGCCCAAACCATCACAACCTCGCTTTCTGCATCTTATCCGCTATCGAGGCCACTCCTACCTTGTCCACATATCATCATTTCTAATTTTATCTCTCCTAGTATGCCTACACATCTATTTTAACATCCTCATTTTCACAATTTTCATCTTTTGAAAGTGATAGTTCTTGATCAGCCAACATTCCGTTCCATACAACATAGTCGGCCTAACCACTACGTAACCACTACTTTGTAGAAATTGCCTTTAAGTTTTGATTACACTTTCTAGTTCTTGATCAACCAACATTCCGCTCCATACAACATAGTCGGCCTAACCACTACTCTGTAGAAATTGCCTTTTAAGTTTTGATGGCACTTTCTTATCATACAAGACCCCAGAAGCGAGCCTCCATTTCATCCACCCTGCAATAATATGATGTGTGAGATCATCGTTATCTTCTCATTACTTTGGATAATAGACTAAAGATAATTGAATCCTTTCTTTTGGATGGCTTGGGTATCAAGCCTTGCTTCCACGCCAACCTCGTGTGTTACGTAGAACTTGCAGTTAAGTATTTTGTCTTGGTCCTACTCAACCTGAACCCATTTAGACTCCAAGGTTTGTCTCCAAACCCCCAACTTCGCTTTAACTCCGCCGCCAGTCTCGTCAGTCAAAACTATGTCATCTATAAATAGCATACACCATGACACCTCCCCTTGAATTTACCACGTCAATTCATCCATCACCAGGCAAATAAAAATGGGTTGCACAAAAATGGTTCTCTACCAATGACACCCAATCAACTATTCCTACAAGAACATTGTGGATGCTCTTAAAATCAAGAAAAAATAAAGGCAAGACTTAAACCATACAAAATCATGTTTTCTCTCTTCAAAAGTTCTCTTGGTCCTTTCCCTCCAAAGTACCCATATGAGGGCTAGAGCAGAACATGCCATGTTCTTCTCTCCACTCCTCTTCCTCATGTAATGATTTTATTATATATTTGTTTACATTCTTAATAACTTGTTGTGTATTTTTTTTAGTGTTGTTACTTCTTTTGCTTTCCCCCCTTGAAAGTACTTTTACTGATGACGATTTGGTTTTGGTTTATAGTAAGATATATCATTTAAGAACATGATATATGAACTTCTAGAATAAGTAGACCTTACCCCTACCTTGGTAGGTAGAGAGGTTGCTTCCGATAAGAATTTCAAATCAGTTTCGGAAAAAAACGAAAGTGAAGAAGTCATGACAAAATAGTAAAGAAAGCTTGTCAAACCATTTTTAGCAATGAAAAATAACTACAACAAAATAGTACGATAATTCAAGCACAAGAAACATTTAATAGAAACAGAGATCGAATAACAAGAAACAACAAGAATAGTACTACGACTACTAGTATGGAAGGATAAGTGAGATAACACTCAATTACCTAACTTACCTTCTACCCTAATGTGTGTCCTCCATAACCACTTATCTTAGGTCGTATCCTTGGTCAACTAAAGTTGTGTCATATATTGTCTAATCACCTCTTCCCATTACTTCCTCGGCCTACCTCTACCTCTCCTGAAACCATTCATAACCAACCTCTCCCGCTTCTGCATTGGAGCATCCGTGCATCTCCTCTTCACATACCCAAACCATCACAACCTGACTTCCTGCATCTTGTCCTTGATCAATGCCACTCCTACCTTGTCTCGCATATCATTATATCTAATCTTATCTCTCCTGTTATGCCCACACATGCATCTCAACATCCTTATTTTCACAACTTTTATCTTCTGAATATGAGAGGTATTGACCGACCAACATTTCCACTCCATATAACATAGTCGGTCTAACCACCACTGTAGAACTTGTCTTTAAGTATTGGAGGCACTTTCTTATACTCCAGAAGCTAGCCTCCATGTCATCCACCTTGCACCAATATGATGTGTGAGATCATTCGTCAATCTCCCCCTTCGGATAATAAATTCAAGATAATTGCAACTTTCTTTCTTTTGGATAACCTGGGTATCAATCCTCACTTTCACGCCTGCCTCGTGTGTTACGTCACTGAACATGCACTTAGGTATTTCGTGTTGGTCCTAATTAACCTAAACCCTTTTATACTCCAAGGTTTGTCTCCAAACCTCCAACTTAGCATTAACTCCTCCGACAGTCTTGTCAATCAGAACTATGTCATCTCTAAATAACATACACCATGACACCTCACCTTGGATTTACCTCATCAATTCATCCATCACTGGGCAAATTTAAATGGGCTGCAATAAAATGGTTCTCTGCCATGACACCCAATCATCTATTCCAACTAGAACTTTGTGGGTGCTCTTAAAATCAAGCAAAAATGAAGGCAAGCACTAAACTGTACGAACTCATGTTCTTTCTCTTCAAAAGTTCTCCTAGTCCTTCCCTCCAAAGTACCCACATGAGGGCTTGTGCTGAACATACCATGTTCTTTTTCTCCTCCTCTTCCTCATAAAGTGATTTTATTATATATTTACATTCTAAATAATTTGTTGTGTTTCTTTTTATTGTTGTTCTTTTTCTTTCTTCCATTGAAAGTACTTTTATTGATGACAATTTGGTACTAGCTTATAGTAATCTTTGTCTTGTTCAATAGTTTGTCACAAAATTTTCTCCCTCTTAGGGGTTGTTTGGTGTGTGAGGGATAAAAATAAATAGCCCCGAGATAAAATTTTGGTGTGTTGTTTGGGATGATTTATCCACCATTTATATCATAGTAATGAGATAAGTTATTCCATATACATGGTGGGATAAGTTATCCCACGGTAATTATGGGATAACTTGTTCCCAACCAAACGACCCCTTACAGAATAAATTTATGCAGAACTATTATTTAAGAACATGATATATAAACTTCTAGATTTATAAAGAGCTTTATTTTTAAAAAGTAATGCAAAATTATTCTTTGATAAGTTCAAATTTTAGCTTTTTTGGTTGATAGGGAAAGACCTCCTAATGTAACACATGTCAAATCAAACCTTATATTGATTGGAGAATGGATTTCTTATCGGGTCATAATGAAAAGGAAGTGGAAATAAGAATATTTGAAGTTCTCAATTAATTTGGATGAACTCATAATGCAAATCCATATAAATCTTATACTACCAGTATTATCCTAACCTCAGTACACCCTATTAATTCCAACAAAAAAT